TCATCGGGTTTGATCTGGACATCCAGCGTGCTGCGCGAGGGGAATCACGTTTCTGCAGCAGCACAGGATCCCTGAGCCAGATATCACTTTGCTCGGATGAAGCTGGATGTGGTTCCTCTATTGAAAGATGCAGACAGGGGGGTGGCATTTGGGAAGGCTGTTTGCCTTCCTGGGCTCTGCAGTGATTGTGCATGATGTGGAGATAATTACAAAGCTCTCCCTGAGGATAGCTCCTGCAGGAGTTATCCCTGTTTATAAAGTACCCTGAGTCGCTTTTCCACCCCGAAACTGCATGGAGGATCTGGAATGCATGTGCATGTTGCTTCTTATATCAAAGGGATATGAGCAAGTTAAGGAGCTGCTCAGTTCTGCAGCACAGCCTATCACAGAATATTTATTTCGTACAGCAATACACACCCCATACACGCTATCTCTGCAGGGAAATACACCCAGAGCAGAGCTTGCACCGCACTCCCCGGGAAAACAAAGCCGCCACAGGGATTGCAAGGAGATGGATGTACAAGTCACCTCTCGATGTGGCGAGGCAGGAGGCAGGCAGGGCACTGTGTCAGCACTGCTTGCGGAGCACGCAGGCAGTATTAACGCAGTGTGAAGAATGCCCGATTTGTCCCCGTACTCCAGCCTCTGCCTGCAGCAGGACAACGTGCCACTGAGAGAGAACTCGCCTGAGAGCTGGGGTGGTAATGCCCTAATATTGCCCCACAGGCATCGTTCTGTGGGTGGCGGAGGAATAAAGAGGTTGTGGCTTCATTTTAATGCCCCCCAAAAGAAAAGTGTCCTGCTAGCCCATGTGTGCAATGCTCCAGCCCCACGCTTGCTTGAACCGTCCTGTGCAGTGATGGCACAAGCAGATCTGGCAGGCAGAACTGATCATTGCCTCCTCCTCTCCAGGCTCCGGACCTTTGGCATTATTCACTCCAAGGACCAGGAAAACCCAGCCTGTGCTGGCGGCGAATGGCACCTCAGAGAGGTATTTGTCAAGGGGACCCCGCAGCAGCCCCACGCTGCATGCGCAGCAGTTCTGCTGAGTCAGCAGTATTTCAAGATCGGTTTGAAATCTGTGCTTCTCACACCCTCCACAGGCTCTCTCCAGTTTTTTTTTCCTCCCTGCTTCCTCCAATCGTTCGCTCGCCAGGCTGCCAAATGATCTTACCTCTGCCAGCACCTCCCCGTACGCAGCTCCTGCAGAAGAGGCATTGTGCGTCTCTCTGGATCACTCCTTCCTTTTTCACTTCAAATTGCTCAGCCCCTGCTGGGACCATCTATTTCTCATCTCTCCACGCTGCTCCATGGGGCAAAACTTGTACGGGGTGAGGCTGTGCTGCAGCCACCTTGCAGGGGATCCATGTGCAGGCGCAGAGAAAGCCTTCATGGGGTGGCTTAACCCCGTGCTGCGTTTGCCCTGACAATCATTTGGACCCTTAATCTTAGCAACAAGGATGATGGGCTGGAAATTCAATAAACCCACTCAGAAACGCAGTCCTTTGGGCTGGCTAGCTAATAAAAACTGGTTTAGCCATTCCAATGCACCTGACTGATATAAATGGATAGTGACGTGAGCTCTGGAAACATATCCCGGGGTCTGCCTCTGCTGCTGCTCTTAACCCTTTGGTGCTAAGGGGTGGGCAATTTGGGCTTCTACCCACACACACTTTAACCAATATTTCAATCCAGTCTCCTGTAACCTCACAGCAGTCCATCAGGCTGAAGGAGCAGCTTGTTAAAGAGCTGCTAAAGCAGGGCTGCAGCACTCAGCCTGGCTCACGGGTCCTAGCTGTGATAAGAAATATTTGGTGATGTTTATTCAGTGTACCTAACCCGATATGATTCAGGCTTGTGTGACCACGTTTCGCTGTAATTCTGGTCAATCTCACCCAGCATATTAAAACTTGTAGCGAAGCTCAGCTTTCTTCTTTGCTCTGCCTTCAGTATTAATGCAGGAACTGTTTCCTGCAGCGTGCCGTCAGCACGCTCATGCCATCCCAACCCACATCATCCCGTGCTCTCATCCAGCAACGTCACCAAAGGTGACTCATGAGGAGCCCTGGCGCCAAGGGCTTTTGGACAGGCATCTCACAGCCTGTCCCATCCCCACCTTCTGGACGGAGAGGCAGAAGGGACTGCTCACAGCACTCACACCTGCAGTCGATTTTGCTGACAGCAGCCTGCATTTAACTTGTTTTGAGACCATCAACGGGTCACACTTTAGGAGGGATTAGCAGCCTCCTTCTGGGCAGGGCTCTGGAAAGGCACAAAGAGGGGTTTTAGCCCTGTTTGTGCCCTCAGAGCCTGCAAAGCTCCCCAAGCCTCTTCCCAAGAGAGCCACCTTGGTGGGATCTGGGCAGGCGGAGGCGATGGTGATCAGCTCAGACACCGAGAGCATCACTGATCACATCGTATTTCAGCTGCTCGCTTGGAAGAGAGCAGCCGCTCGCCATCCCTGAGCTGCTGAAAGGGGGTTGATTTTCATCACTGACAGCTCTGGATATTAAGAGGCTAACCGAATATAAAGTTCTGGGCAGGGAAAGCTTATAAAGGGTAAAAGGAGAACAAACACCAGCAGTGAGAGTACCCCAGCATGCAGGGGAGTACACGCTCCTAGCTTGAGGTGGAAGGAAAACGCTGGGGCTAAATATATGGCTTATAGCGTAGTAGTCCTAAAAAAAATGCAATTGTGTTGTGCAGGATTTACTAGTACATGGGATTTTTTATAGTAAGAAAGTGGCTGAGATGCAGTCCAGAGCCGTCATTTCCAGCGCACGGCACTGCAGCCCGGGCTCCGCTGCGGTGGCCACACAGTGACAAAGCAACACCAGGAAATCTGCGCTTAATCGGGTCTGCGCGTGCTGCCCCGGAGGTTACCCAACGGGAAACCTAAAAATATCCCACTCTGGGGAAAACTGTGAACCTTGAAGTCCTTCATGCAGGACTATCCCAATCCCTCTTTGATTTCCTGTTGTAAAGGGCTTCCAAATGTTATAAGCCTTTAGTTTTCCTCCAAATGAAAAACAGTTCAAAACCATTAAAGGACTTGATCTGAGATGCGGACCTTCATCTCCCTACAACATTAAGACTTGCTTGGTTGGGATCGGCCGTTTCCATCCTATTACCCCGCTCTAGGACAATCATGAATGCCTTTGGTTTCACCTGACGTAGTGGCATGGTCACAGCATATAAAAACCACCCCGAATTATCACATTTTGGCTTTAGCTGTGGGCTTAGGAAGCTCCTGATCCTCTTTGCAGCTCTGCTCTTGGAGAACGGGGCTCATATTAGTCACAGTAACGGGTGTCGCTCTTCCCCTGCTGACTTCACACGAGATCAGAATCTGGCCCTGCTTTTCCAAAAAGTCATCTTCAAAACAATGACGGCAGTGACGGCACGGTGTTGTCCCCACTATAATTACGCTGCTGCCGCTGTTTTTATTTTTATCGATTTTCTGGCACCTCCAGCGCAGCAGTTGCGAGAGCAAACATCGTGCAGCTTGACACGCTGCCAAGGCATCTCTGTGACGGTGAAACCACCGCACTCTCCTTTCTCCGTCTGCTTTTCCCTCCATTGTTTTCATTTGAACTGCCGGTGTCACCGGCGAGGGTCTCCGCTGACATGTAGGATTTCCTCGCGGCGGCCCCGTCTCAATGCCTCCCCACACAATGCGGCAGTATTGAGATGTCAGAGTCTCCCTGCCCCTGATAAAGGTGTCAGGACGGATCCCGGTCTCGGCAACAACAGCGCCAACCCCAAACCTCTCCACGGCGCTGGGAGCGAAACCTCCCCGCTCCCCTGGATTTCAGCACAGCGCTGGGACCCGAAAATCCCTGGCTCAGCTCTAACACGAGCTCTCAGTCTTTTTGGGCCCCTGATGCCAAGCGTTTTCAGCTCTGATAATATTTGCATCTATTTTTGGTGAACGAGCTGCTACTTCAAGGGGATTAAAGCAGAGCTGTGACTTCTCGGCGCGAAGCAGCTCGGGTGGCTCGCTGGCAGTGGCTGGTGCGCGTCGCTGTGGCTGGGGGTGCCTGAGATGACCGCAGCACCCGAAATCACAGCTGCTCAGATACAGGAGACATTGAACCAGGTTTTACTGGAGTAGCTGGTCGGGTTAGCGACAGCAGGCACGCAGAGCCCAAGGGGGATGCGATTACTCCCATCCACACGAAACCAGTGATGCTGGGTGTTTGGAAGGAGTCCCTGGGAGCGCGGGCAGCACACCGGGGGCTTCGCCATGGGGAGCAGCAGGGCAGCCCTGTGGGCACGGTGCCTCTCCCCAGCACCCATCCCGGGGCTGAACCAAAGCCCTGTCCCCCCACTACCACCACCCCCGTTCACCCAAACTGCAGCAGCTCCCAAAACGCACTCTTGCCTCTCCAGAAGAAAATCCCCAAATAATAAAAATTTAAAATAAATAAATAAATAAGCGTGCCGCGACACAGCGCCGGGTCCCACACGCATCCCACTGCCCTCCCCACGTTAACAAACCCCCCTTCCCTATGAGACGACCTCCCCCAGCCTCACATCCTAGGGCGGTGGGGGACGGGGAAGGGGAGGGGGGAGCATCTTTTTGGGGCCGGACTCCCTTCTTTTTGGGGCCGGGCTCCCTTTTGGGGCCGGGCTGCTTTCTGGGGCAGGGCTCCTTTTTGGGGCCGGGCTCCCTTTTGGGGCCGGGCCCCCCCCTCCCTCTCCCTTTCCCTCTCCCTTTCCCTCTCCCTTTTTGGGGCCGGGCTCGGAGGGAGGGGAGCGCGGGCGGCGGGCGCGGCCCCCCGCGGCTGCGGGGCGGAGCGGGGGCGGCCGGGGGCGGGCGGCGGGGCCCGGCGGGCGGGGACAGCGCGGCCGCCCCGCTCCGCGCCCGAGCAGCGGCGGGCAGACGCCGGAGCGCCGCGGCGGAGGAGGGAGGGAGGGAGGGCGGCCGGCACCGCGGCCGGGACCCGGAGGACGAGAAGGAGGAGGAGGAGGAGGAAGGGGGAGGAAGAGGAGGAGAAGGCAGCAGCGGCTCCATGCGCGGTGCGCGGCCGGCCGCGGGGCTTGCGCAGGTAGGCGCCGCTCCGTGCTGCCCAACGCCGCTGCGGGAGCGGTGCTTCGCGATCCCCCGGTGCTTTGTCTTAGGGTCCCGCATTTTGTCACTATTCGTCTTTCTTATCGCTTATTCTGGCGTTATTTCTTTTACTGTTTATTGCATCCTTACTTTGTTATTCTTGCATACTTCGTTAGTTATTTTCTTACTCTTATTTCATTATTCTCACTTTATCACTTATTTATTTCATTATTCTTATTTATTTTCTTGTGCTTAGTTCATTATTCTTATTTATTTACTCTTGTATACTTCATATACTCTTAGTTACTCTCACTCTGACATACTTCATATACTCTTACATACTTCATATGCTCTTGCACGCTTCATATACTCTTACACACTTTATATACTCTTACTTATTTCATCATCCTTATTTATTTCATTACTTATTCCATTATTATTTATTTCATTATTATTTATTCCATTATTATTTATTTCATTACTTACTTCATCATTTTTACTTACTTCATTACTCTCGTTCCACTCTCCTCCTTTATTTCATTGCTCTTATTTCATCATTCTCATTTATTTCATTACCCAAACTATCCCATTACTCTCATTACTTTTACTTACCCCATTCCCCCTACTTATTCCATTCCTACTTATTTCACTATCTTACCTCCCCCCACCCCTTTTCTCCCCTAGGGGGGTGGCGTGTCGGGGTGTGCATGCCCGGAGGGGGTTACGCATCGGGGTGTGCGTGCACTGGGGTGCGTGTGCCCGGGGCTGGGGCTGTTGGGGTGTGCATATTGGGGTGTGTGTGCCGGGGGGGGTCCCGTGCCCCCCCTGAGCTCCCTCCCTGCCTGTCCCCGCAGCGCGGCGGCGGAGCGGAGCGCTGAGCGGCGCCCAGCATGCGGCCGGGGGATGTCTGAGACGGGAGGCGGCCGAGGGGAGGCAGCGGCGGCCCCGCTCCCCCGGCGCCGTGCCGGAGGCATGGGGGCGGCCTGGGGCTCCGTCTGGTGCCTCTGCCTGGCGGCGGCCGTCGGAGGGCTGCCATCGGCTCGGCGGAGAGGCGGAGGAGCGGCGGAGAGGAGCGGCGGGCAGCCGGCAGGTAAGGGCTTCGCCCCCTTTGGTCGGTGGGCAGAGGTTGGATGGGGGGGGGGCTGAGGGAGGCGAGGAGGTGGCTCAGGGGGTGGTTTTGTTCCCCCCCCACACCCCGTCGAGTGGCCTAAAAGGAGGGAAAAAAAGTCACCGAGTCTTAAAAAAAAATTATACGCATCACCCCCGGTTTGAAACGCCGCCTCTCGCTGATCCGCCTCAGCTGCTACCTGAGTCGCTGTTTATTTTTCGAAGCTGTTTAATGGACGGGAGCCCCCTCGCAGCCCCCCGTCTTCCAGCTTGCATGTACCCGGCAGAAAAGTTTCCATTGTTCACGAAAGGGTCTGAAGCCTGGTTGCCAAAAAAGTGACAGGGGAATAAATGGGCTTCGTGGAGGCTGGGGGTGGGGGCATTACTTTCATACCCCTTTTGGTTAAAGCTATAAATCACACCGGGGGTTGGTTTTGTTTTCAAGAAAGTCCTAATAAAACACCAGATTCTTAGTGTAAGTCGTTTGGCTCATTTTTCACAGCCAAAAGAACTGATTTACGGGGCAAACATCGCCGCCGCTGTGTCAGGGCGGCTGAGGTGGGTGCGGGCAGCCAGCAGCAGCCCCGTGTCAGCACCCAGGTGTCACAGCCTGCTGCGGGTCTCAGCACTGGGGCTGTACCAGGGGACCAGGGGGACGACATCCCATTTGGGACAGCGGGGAGCTCGGCCATGCATTGGGATTTCCCGCGGAAATCCTTCTGATGAGGCTCGCTCGCTGCAGAGTCACTGGGAAAGCCCCCCCAGGAGCCAGGATCGGGCCCCCGAGCGGAGGGCTCCAGGGTCCCCATGCCACCTAGCGATGTCCCAAGGCTGTCCCATCAACCTGAAGCACTAGGGGCTTGCAACGGGGGCTGTGAGGGCAGGCACTGCAATGCCACGTGCGCGGGGAAGCAGCAGCAGAGCATCGCCCGGCGCCTCAGCCGGGCAGCGGCACCCGACCCGGGGTGGGAGAGAGGTTGTGCAAAAGCAACTGTAAAGGATATAAACCTTCCGCGCCGAGCAAAAACACGTTTTGCTTTTCAGCCTTTGAACGGCATGGTAAAAAAGCAAATTCTTTCTCCTGGTCAAATGGGCCATGGGGTATTGGCTCATTACTGAGGGTTGTTGTTCGCTGGGCTTTGCATTTACAGTCTAAGGCCTTATTTTCCATAAAGGGGCTTGGAAGGATTTTTCCCCAGTGATCTAATTCTCCACACGGGGCTGTGAAGGCTATAACAGCTACTGCTTTGTGCCTATACTCAGCTACATAAAACACACATTGAAGGGAGGCATTCTGGAGGTATGTGTATGTTTGCTAATATGAATACTCGCTATTAGCGGAGGTGGAGGGGGTGCAGGTTTTAACATCTCCGCAGGGAGGTGTTCGGCTGTTGGCAGGAAGGAGGCAGATGGCGGGGCTGTTGCTGAATAGAAGCTAAACTAAAAACACCAGGGGCCTCATCTGGGCCGAGTTTCTCTTCTCTCCCTTTCTCGGGGCTGCTGCAGGAAGAACAATGTCAATTTTTTTCCACCCCCCCCTTCTTTTTTTATGAATGAAAGTAGAGAGGCGAGGCAGGATTGAATGTGTATGTCATTCAGGGGCTATGACAGAGATGATTAGGGAGGTCAGTGAACTCCTTTGCAGCCTTGAGCATGCGGTCACTCTATTCAGCAGCCACAGAATAGACATCAATATAAAAAAGCCCGTCCAATTTGCATTAGTATTCAGATAAAGATATTACTCCGTACGATTTGTGAATGTCAAGTAACGCTGGCTGTTTTCTTAGAGAGCAGACCGACTGAAACAGCAGCGTTTCGCTTTTAAAAGCTCCTGATAACTGGCCTGTCTCCTGTAGCTGGTTTGTAAGTGTCTGTCTGCCTACAATATATGTGAAAAAAGGGGAATTTCGGGGCTCCTTAGCATTCGGGAGTTAGCAACCGGAGATGTGTATGCGCATTGAAAGAGTTGTACAGAGAGCCAAAAGCGTGGAAAAGGTGCCAATACGGGATTTAGCTGAGCTGGGGCACGTATGGATTCCTGTCACTTCTCTGCTTGGAAATGGCAGGAGATGCTCTGGGTTTGGACGGTTTGCTTTATGCAGCCAGCTTGTGCCCGGCGGTGGGTGCGAGGTGCACGCTGCAGACGGCCTGGCTCTGTGTACCTAAATGTTCCAAAGGTCACCCTGAAATTGCCCTCACCACACGGCACTGGAGCAGGGCTCGGGGTTCACGTGGTCCCTTCAGGGAAGTGTTTTTAAACCCTCTAAAAGGAGCCCCTTATAAATTGGTGGTGCTTCTGACTTCGTGTCCGAGACCTGAAACCCTTTAGATTCAGTGGGAAGCTATGAGATAAAAAGTTGTCCTCTAATAATAGCAGCTAAAAAAGGCAATTAAGCCTTTAAAGTTGAGACTGGCATGTTTTATTGAGTAATAAAATAAAACACGAGTGAAGGATGATGAAATATGGCTTTTTTTGGTTGTCTATCCCTTACCTAGCAAAAAAAGTCTGTTCCAGGGCAGAGGCTGACTCACCAACGTGCTCGCCAGTGGCTGTGTAACCCCACATCTTCTACACGTATTGGCAAGGGTCACTCCAATTAAATCTGAGGGTGTTTTTTTTTCTTTTAATTAAGGCTTCATTAACAACCAAGGGGTAGGGAACGTGATGAAAGTAAATCTGAAGATTGTGTTAGCGAAGTGTTGATCTGCTAATTAAATCATGCCATTAAACTAAGCCACTCTGACCAGCACGTTAACTTTTATGACTCTCTCCAACAAATCTTCAGGGCTGTTGGGGAAAGCGTACCTGTCCAGCAGCCTGCTCCAGCGTGGGTTTTGAAGTTTTGGTGCATCATGACCACTGCACCAGGACCGTTCCCATCTAGAGGGACCCAGTCCTGCAGCCTGGACAAAGAGAAATTTCATGCTAAATTTTGGGGAGGGCTTTTTCCGCCTCTGTAAGGCTGGGAAACATTTTTTTGCCCTTCGTGTATAGTCAGTAAAAGTGAACTTTGATTCCGGACTGTGTGCTCAGAGAGCTGTCCTCAGCACGCTCACTGCGTGCGTCTGCTCTTTCAGTCAGGGACCCAAAAAGGCAGGGGGGTGACGCTGGTTTCTGACCAGTTAACAAAATTTCCAGTTCACGGCAGCGTTAGACCAACACCTTCCTGACAGTGCCCTGTCAGCTGGCAGGCAGAGCCATGGCAGGGCTGTAGCTGAAGCTCAGTGTCTGTGCCGGCCGGGACGTTTTTGGAGGGGGCAGGATGCGGTGCCGGAGCTTGGGCACGAGCCCTGAGGCTTCAGAAGAGGTGAAGAAGTGGTCATGCTGTCCCCAAGAGTTTAGCTTTTGGCAGTTTTTAGTGTATGTGGATGCTAATAGGGAATGCTGCGAGTTCAGATATTTCTAGAAGGAAGGCAGGTGAAATTCCCTTCCTAGCTGGGCGACTTTTTCCCAGCTGGGCTGGACCTGATGCACAGGGATCGATTAAACCGATGTTAATTTCATTCTGTTTCCTCATTTGAAAGGACTTACCTCTTGTTTGTAGCTTTCTACATGCTTGTAACTTTCCCTGTGCCGCAGGAGTCGGTTTGTCTGGCTCTGCATACCTTTTTCTGCTTTTTTCAGAAAAGAAAAGCAGCCTGAAACAGCCTGCTGACTCAGCACCCTGCGAGCCGTTCGGCAGCGCGGTTTGGTGGATGGCTTTCAGCATTTGCTGTTTCATCCCTCTGAACACTGTTTGGTTTATAAACTTAATTCCCCTCCACGTACCAGGCCGGGTGCCAGGGGACAGTGGCTCGTTACAAATTCTCTGTACACCCACCTTTTTTCTTTTTTTTTGTCAGCAAACGGGGCTGGAGCTGGGCAAAGCTATGCCTGGTCCCTGCAAGCGGGCAGCCTGGGCTGCTGGAAGAGTAAATCCCATAGCACCCCCTGGGCAAAATGCAGGCTAAAGCCGTGTCTGAAGACACATTTGATGCTGAAAGCACCTTAAATTACCTTGTGATACCCGGGCTTTTTTACCTAGGCCTCCTACGTAGCTTATCATAGCTAAACATAGTTTGCTGTCTGCCCCTCTTTGGCATGTTTATCTGGTGACCTCGTAAAAAAATGTGCTTTTTCCCTGAATTGGAGCTGACAGCCCCAGCGCCCCCTTCCCGATAGCTCGCAGCTCAGGTTGCCAAGTGCCATAGATATGATTTAAAGCTCTGGATGTGTGAAGAAGGGCTTTTATTCCTGTGGTGAATGCGGTATTCCTGATGTTGCTTCCCCCTAAAGTATCAGCTCCTTGGCTTGAATGACCAGGAAGTTTCTGTAATATCAAAAGCAAACAAGAACTGTGAGATACGAGCAGAGTAAAACCTTTGGTAAACTTCGTAGTTAAAATGTGAAAGGTAATCAGACGTAAACCTGCCCTATCATTCTGATAGGCTATCTGGGGGGGGGTTGCAGCGTTCAGGTGGATAGGGACAAGCCCAGCAGTTAAATTGTTTTTTTTCCTTGTTTTTGTTTTCTTTTTTTTTTTTGCTGTGACGCTCAGGTTACACAACTTAGCGAAGCTTTTATTTTTGAAGAATTGCAGCGCAGCAAAGCGAGAAAGCACTTCTCCAGTAACCGCTTCAGTTTCAGATGTATTCATCTAAAAAAGGTGTGGTATTTGTAGCAGAGGGGGAGCTAGCTTCACTGAGCTGGCCTTGCTTCCTCAAAGCCCAGAGAGGAGGGGAAGATAAAGACTCGGTTCAATAGGAAGGTTATATTAAACCTTGGAAGCGCGCTGTAGTCTCTTTATCGCGCCGAGCCGTATGCAAAACAATTACCATGTGCTTACACGTCGAGCATCTGTGGGATTTTGGGGCCGTGCCATCTCCGCAGGTTGCGAGGGGTTAAAAGTATTAATGACTCAGAAGGGAGAAGGCTTCCAAGTTCTCGGGTGAGGGAAGGACGCAGTCTGGGGCTGCGATCTGCGGCTGGAAAACCGCGCAGGC